GCCTTTGTTTTAAATGTAAACTGATTTTTAATGGCTTTTTTAGACTCCTACATTGTGCTCATGGACAGGCTTGATCACGCACAGTGACCTCTGGGAGCTGTGCAGGTCAAGTCACAAATGTACTAGAGAAAAATAATATTAGAATTTTATTGAAGGCAGTAATGCTTAAATGCTGAGGACAATACAGTGTTGGAATCCAAATGATGGGAGCTTAACAATTTAGGTGGGAGCCACAGGCTATAATGTTACCCCATGGAGTAAGGGACTGCTTCTTATAAGTGTATCTGCTGCGTCAGGACTTCTGTTGACACACCGACAATTAAAAACATTTATTTTCATGTAGTTTTGTGGGTATTTGTAGTATCCTGGGGCAAATTTAATTTCTGTGCAAGGTTGGAGCCAGCTGGTCTATAGAGACTGTGTCTGTGAGGTAGTCCTTGCCTCCTGCTGTGTGGTGAGGGATAGAGGCAGGATTTTCACAGTGTAAGGTGCACATCTTAGTCCTGTGTGTTCTTCTTTATTGAACAGTTCTCAGTTCTAAGCAATAAAGAAAATGTATCATTATCCTTAAACTACATGAGTGAAGCCTAAAAATCTTCCAGATGCTTACTGATATTCTGCTCTGATTTAAGGTTTGAGGTGTTTCAGCTATGTGTCATGTCATCTCCCAGTTTAAACTTTGATAGCTAATTCAGTTTTGTTTCTTGTTTAGAAGATGTTGCTTAATATTTCTAGGAATTCTGCATCTTTAAGGAGAACCTCTTTAGAAAAGCTTTGTTTAGAAAGTATTGAGAGGTAGTAGCAGGTTTGGTTTATTTATGAAGGGAATGTTTGCACTCCCCTACACACTACAGTGTTGAATAAACATATATTGTCTTCTGGTGTGTACTTGTAATTATGATAATGGTAACATTCACAAATAATTTCAATTCTTAAATTTTGCCTCAAAGGCAGTAAGAAATGTAAAAGGCACAGACTGTTACTTTTTCATGTACGCAATTATTGAGAAAGTAGATCCATGGCTCCATCTGCTGGGGTTCAAAACCAGAAGCACAAGGAATTGCTGTTTATTGAAAGCACTGAGTTCTGGCATACTTGTGAGAGTAACTGCTGGGCAGAAGCTGAAATAAAAAGTACTGCATTTTATTTTTCAGCTGGTGAATTGATGGAGTATATTTCTCTGGAGATATTGGTGTAATATTTTGACAATTTTGCCCATCTTAAAACTTGTGGTTTTTTCCCCGCAGTTACATTGACTGTCTGAGAGTTGAGCTATTTGTCTCATTTAACAAGGAACATATAGAATACAGAGCTGCCTGTATAATTTTACCCTATGTGTTTTTTATAGTCAGACAACTTCTGTAGGCTAGATAAAGACCTGATATTACAACATTAGCTGGGTGGTTCCTCCAGAGATCTCCCATGGGGAAAGAATAAGGCCAAAATATAAAAAACTTCTTGGTCTTCTCTGGCAATTAAATATGTGACATCAAGATATTTTTGAGATTAATTTGCATTTTGCAATGTCTTGGTGCAGACCGGCATGAAAGGACGCTATTTCCATCTGATTAACTTTTCAAATTTCTGTTAAGAGGGGAAATATTTTGCTCACACGTGGTTTCTCATTTCTATTGGTCTGAGAACAGGAGCTCAGAAACTCTGAGCTGTAGCTTAGCTCTTGAGGAAGAGAAGATTCTGAAATAATCCACTATTATTCTGCCTGCAATTGTTTTCAAAGCAGCTTTGTCATTTTCTGTCATTATATGAAAATCTGTCTTGCCAGCTGCAAGAATACGCATCAAAAATCCATTCCATAAAAAACAAAAATTGTCTGTCTTGTTCAGCACTGAGTAAACACTTCAGTTTCAGTAGAAACTGGACTTTGGAATTTGAAAGTATTACAAAGTAATGGCTGTGTATTTGATCAAGATTCAAACCTCCATACAGAATAGTGTGCCTGTTTTCTTGAGTATTCTCATTATGTACTAGCATATTTTGTCCTAAACAAGGAGTCTAAACAAAAGGTGTCTTTCTCTGCTCTTTTCTTTTTCCTCTGTTGAAGGTTTTAAGAATGATGCCCATAGGGACAAGGATTTTAGATAAATAAAACTAATGGTTTTGCAGAGAAGATGTAGCTGGAGTGAATTTCACTCTGTAAGGGTTACTACTGTAAAGTTGCAAGTAAAAACACTCATGTTAAATGTGGAGTCTGAAAGGAAACACCTCCTATGTTAGTCATAACAGGACATATATGGCAGTTTATAACTCCTCTGCTGTAAACAAAAAAATTAATCGAAGATCAGACTTCAGTAGTGCTGCTTCAGTAGTATCTGAAAGTATTGCTATCTTGAAATACTTGGTTTTTTTCCTTGTGTTGCAAGTAGAAAAGTTGTCATTTTAACTTAATGCTAAACTTTGGCAGGTTAACAGTGCAAAATGTGTGTGTATGTAAATTGTATATGATTCTATTAAGTAATGAATAATTAAAATATTACTAGAACATTCACAGCATTCAAACAGTGTATGCACATAGGCATGCAAATATACAGGTATATTTGCACAATAGTGTGTTTTTAAAGAAATATTATCTAAGAGCTATTATAGACCTAGGAAGAAGAGTGTATTGTACTTCCTATTTCTGCCGCTTAGACAATTAGAGGAATGCTGACAGTTTGTGTTCTTCCTTCAAGAGACAGGAAAGGAGGAATCAACTGAATGAATGCTGTTTTGTTATCTGCTGTTAGAGGCAATGTATTCTATTAAAATTTATTACCACCTGGAAGGCCAAGGCTATGTTTATTCAGGGTCAGTCCTTAGGAATAATCTCTTATTATTTAGACACAGTCTTTGTATTCACAGTGCAAGTTACAGACTGTGCTTTTTGCTCAGTTTTCTGCTTCCTTCTGCTCTCAGCTTGGAAAATTTTGTAGTTATAAGCTAGGATGGCTTGTTCTTCAGTGGAGTGTCAATTTAAGCTGCGGGCAGGAGAGAGAAAAGCAGCAGCAAATGTTTCATACACCCATACAATGCCTATAGAGGTTTAAGGTATTTTAAAGCACTTTTTAAATCTACTGATATTGTAAAACTGCATTCTAAAGTGGGTTTTTTCAGCAATTAAGATCTCTCCCTAAAATAGAGGAAAGAATCCTCACAATCTCTAAAAATCTTGTGCGTGCTTATATGTACCAGTAAGCCTGCAGGTAGAGATTCACTACAGCAAAGAAATCCCAACACAGTTATGGTCTTGAAGTAGTTAAAGAAGCCAGAGATGCTTGAAGGGGAGGGATGAAGAGTTTGATGTGGCTTTCAAAAGCCCATTTTTGGTAGGCACAGTTGTGGACAGGTGAACAAGCTAGGTTAACACCAGCTAAATGCAAACTTTCACACCTGTCAGTGAAATGGAACAGCTGGCTGTGCTTCAGTTCATTGGTGAAAGTAAAGTTTTTCTGGTTAAGTTTTTCTATTTTTTTCTGAATTCGATTGGGTTGTCAGTCACAGAACCTGGGTGTTGTCTAGGTCAGACTTTAGCTTGCCATCAGAGATCACCAGTGACTTCTTGCAATTAGTGACTATTCCCAAGCTGGTTTTTTCATCCTGAACAACAAAATTGCTTATTGATTCCTGGTGCTTGTGAATAGTGTGGCTGTTTGACACTGCATGTTCAGAGTGGAATTGTACTAGCATTTAAAAAAAATGTTAACAGCAGAAAAGTGCAGGTCAGTCTCTAGTCAGAAACAGTCTTTGTTTGAACTTGTTACCCTTTCTTTCACAGTTACAAAACATATATGTAGTTTTATTAATACTTAAATATTTTCTGTTTCCATTTATGTATATTTGTATGTATACACTACCTAAATATATACATTGCTCAGAGGTACTTGCTGAGCCACATAACACGTATTAAATTGCTCATTAGATGTATTACTTTGTTTTTGCAACTTGGCATACAAACATTGTCTAGACAGCTGACTTGGGCTTTATTTTCATGTGCTGAATACTAATAGCTCAGGAAGTTACATAGGGGCATAATTCCTACAACCTCTTGTGTTCCTGTGATTATATATTACATGTTTTTATGGCTATCTCGCTGTGGTCCTGTCTTTCACAGTGGTAGTTTATTATAATGAGAACAAAAAGGAGATAGAACTGGTATATATTCCAGAGATTAATATTCTTCCAGTACATCTACGGTGCTGATCAAAATAAGTTTTGCTTAAATATTTATAAAAAAAGGCCAAGTGTCTGTGCATGGAAGTACTTCTCCCTAATTTCAAAAGCCATGAAATATTAGCTAATTATAAGCAAATAGGCTGTGAGAGAATTCCAAAGAAGCGTTCAAAAGAAACATGACAGTTCAAATCTAGAAACATGATCCCATATTTTGACAGTAAATTCCTTGAACTTACAGTTCTTTAGGAAGAATTTTCGGTGTTGCATATTTTGGCTGGACTGCAATGCCATCATTTTCTGTACTGCAAAGTGATACAGCCTTGAACAGAAGCACATAAAGTGAAATCCATCTGGGAGTTATGTGAAAATTGAAAAATTTAGATCATCTTCTTTCATGCAAAAATCTGAGTATTTGGAAATTCAAAATAATTACTTTTTCTACTCAGATAATGAAAAATCAACTATCTTCTAAGAGTGCTTACACTTTATAAGAACTTAAAAACAAGGATGTTTGGGTGATATATTTGTATATCTCTTGGCATTTAGATTTTATATCATTAGCCAGTGTAACAGTATAAAATACTGTATGATATTGTATATAAGATTGTATCTTTTGTTGGTAGAATATTGTAAGTGACATGTTTGCTCAGTTTTCAGTGCTGGCTATTGAACATCACTTTGAAATGCTAGAAGCCTTCAGTAATGTGCACGCAACAAATTGATGTTGACATCTCATGTATTTAGGCTGACTGACAAATCTGTTTGCGTGGTCTTTGAGGCTGAATAATTTATCTTCTTTCCCCCATCCCTTTGTTTTTCTGTCATCCCAGGTTATTTTGTTGGCTGTGAAGAACCACGGACCCTTGGTGCCCTGATGGGGGACTCGGGATCCAGACGCTCGACTCTTGTATCTCGGTTGCCAATATTCAGGAGAAGTGTTAGCCGGAGACACGACTCCCTTCCTTCCTCGCCTTCTTCTGCCAACGCCATTGGTGTCCACACCTCCTCCCCATCCAGCACCAACTCCAGCTCAGGGAGCACAGGAAAGCGCCGGAGCATTTTCCGCACCCCTTCCATTAGTTTCCATAACAAGAAAGGGAGTGAGCAGAAGCCTGACTCAGCAAGTCAAAATGTTAACATCTCAAATGGTGCCCAATCTTCCCTTAGCACTTTTCACAAACTCAGCTTAGACGAGCACATAAAAAGCAGAGGAAGGCATTCAGTTGGCTTTGGCAGTTCACGTAACAAGAAGATTACAAGGTCTTTGACAGATGATTTTGAAAAGGGAAAGGAGCCCTCAGCTAATAAGAATGTCTTTATCAATTGCATAAGCTCTGGGAAAAATGAGGGTGATGATTCGGGCTTTGCAGAAGAGCGGAGCCGATACTCTGTCAAACAGTCCACACGAAAACTCCTCACTAAGTCTTTTTCATCACACTACAGATTTTCCAAACCAGTTCCAGAGAGTCAGTCGGTTTCCTCTGTGCAGCAGCCCAGGTGCTTGCTGGAAGTCAAATCCTACGTGGAGAGCGAGCCTGTGATGGCCAAGTCATCTCCTCCGTGCTCGGCTGAGACGACGGAGTGCATGGGCAGCTCCCTGCAGTCCCCGCTGCTCTCGGCTGACCTCACGGCTGCCCAGACCCCTTCGGACTTCATTGCTCTCACCGAGGACTCTGTGTCAGAGGCTGATGCCCTGCCCAGCAGTGGGCCTGGGGCGCTGCTCGCAGAGGATTTTGGCCACGATGTCTCTGCCTCTCAGGTCTTCTTTAATCCTGCTGCTGCTCCTGCGAGGGAGAGAGATACTGTGCAAAGTGCTGGCCATTCTGCTGGTGTGTCTCCTGTGAGTCATGCAAGCTCGTGCAGTGTGGAGTCCAGTACCTTATTCAAAACCTCAGTTGCTAATCAAACAAAAGTACTATTGCAAGCCAATGGACTGCATATTAATGATGCCAGGCACATAGAAAAAAATAACTCGGAAAATGAACATTTAGAAACCTTGACGTTAGAGTGTAGTGAAGAACCAGTGACCCTCTCTCCAAAGGCACAGGGGTTGAGTGACAGCAGAGATGAAAGCACTCCATCTGAGCACATGAGAAACGCAATTCCTGTAGTGGAGTCTAATGGAGTTCCATGTTCTGAACCTCAGTCCTTTAAAATACAACAGGGTTATGAATCAAACCATTCTAAAGGTATGTTTCATGGTCTTTTTGAGTTTGTTTGGGTGGGCTAGCCTCATTTCTTCTATAATGATTCTTTTGTCATAGAATGTTTTTTAGAATTGCAAGTGTTAGCTATGAAGTTCAGAAAGTACAAATTGTGTCCTCTTCCAGAACTGTAGGAATTAAAAGCGAAGTCTGTCATTTCTTTGAGTTTGTATTTTAGAGTTTACAAATACTCATAAGTGCTGTTTGTGTCTGTGCTTTGCTTAATAGAAAATTATTCAAGAATGCAAGTACTAATTCCCAGCTTGTGTTAGAGGCTGAAGCTGTGATTCCTTGAGACATGGCTATTTTGGACTTGAGCCTTGGGGTTGCATAATTTGGGATGAAAACGTCAGCAGAGAAACAAATGTTCTTGTAGTCTGATTATGGGAAATAATACAGTTTATTTTGTATTGATCTGGGTTTAGAATTTTATAGAGTCTTGCTTTCTCTATTCAACTGATGTTATAGAGTAGCTCAAAGTGGATAATTCTGTCAAAGTATGAAATATCCTGTTTCTGCTCCCCTCTGAAATAAGTGTCCAAATTCTCATTTTGTCATCTGTCAAACTGAGGGAGTTAATTACCATTTAAATTTCACACTGGGTCTTTAGTTTATGAAGAGTAATTTGGAAATACTAACAAGATTAAGTGGAAAGACTGTGCCTAGAAATCCCAATCTATAGAGATATAGATAAATAAGGCACCAGGCCCTGGAGTGAAGGACACCTGTCAGAAGTCATTTATCTCTGACAGTTGATTTTCTCAAGCCAGCTTAATGACTGGTGCTTTCTTGCTTAATCCTGAGGCTGTATGTGGTGGGCCAAAATTTGAGAGTTAACAAGACAGCATTTGTAGTGATTGTATTAGAAGATGAATGATGGTAAGTATAAACTCATAAATTCACACTCATCATTTTGCTTGGATATTTATCTAGGCATGTGGATTATAAGCAATCAAAAGCAATCTCGCTTTTTGAATTATTAGTCACTGCTAGGCTTAGTTGGATATCTTGTACATAAATGGCAATAGAAAGTCATATTAATCCCTTGAATTATCTTTCACCAGAGGGGTCCTCTTTCACTCAGAACCTCAGTCACTTTGGGGAAAAAATATTCCCATTTATCTGTATTACTGGTCCTGTGCACTCAGTTTGTCTTCCTTGCCACATTGTCCCACATGTAAGTAGCTCTTATTTCAAAATCTATCTTGCAAGAGTGTACTGCAGAGCACTAAGTGAGTAGCTTGGAGAGATGTTTAGAAATACCCCCTGCATTTCAAACTCATGCATTGGCAATTTGATATTTAGTCTGTATTTCAGTAAAGCAGCTCAAGGGAGTTGAAATTGAGTTATAGATGTTTTTGTAAATTGGATTCATGTTCACAGAAACACTAGAGCTAATATTGCACTATATAAAAGTTGCTGATTAATTGTTCTGTTGTTTTAGTGCTGTTCAAAATACTTTTTTTTTCCTGGTGTTGTGAAGAATGTATTTCAAGTTAGCAATTCCCCAAGCATACAAAGGAACCAGTGAAAATAAGACAAAATCCTGCCATATGAAATGAGTCTAAGTTAGGAATGCTGAACAGAAATGGAAACCTGTCTAATGTGCATCCCTGTCTTATGCAGGGGTAACAAAGTTGTTGCCTGGTCCTTCACGTACTGGGCTTACTTGACCTTGGGGGCCTAGGCAAGGTTGGGTTTTGGCACCACTGGGCAAGTGATAATTTCTTTGGTAGATTTTACTATGATGAAGGGAGAAAGAAAAGGATGGAGCAAAGACTCTTTCTGGACTCTATGAGGAGCCCTGGACTGGGCTGTGGTTTTCTGAGCATGCCTATCATTGGGGCTGAACTGCGGGCCCAGGTGACACCTTGATCTAGGTAAGCATGGTCTGATTTTCACAGAACATTTTTCATGTGATTTCAGTGTAATTATTTCAAGCAAAGCAGTGTTCTGATGAAGAAAATTGTTGTCATCTTATTGCAAAAGTTCTCATACCTTCTTGGTGATTTCTCATGGGCAGTTCTTTGCAGCACTGACTCCCTTTTTCTTCACAGCACAGCCAACAAACTCCAACTCTCTCCAACCAGCTAACCCACTCTTTTGTAGCACTCGTCTTCTTACTGGACACAGCTGTGGCCTGTTAAGGGCAGGCCTTTCCTAATCTTGGGTGATTAGTACAGCTGCAACTCCTCAGGTGTGAGACTGCCTTCTGCACTGTCTTTATTTTCTTACATCCCATCCCACCACAGAAAATACTTGTAGAGAGCAGTTCCCTGTAGCAATTGCTATTTGCTTCTGTCTTTATAGTTGATGTTACCAACAGCCTCAGTCCGTACCGGGAGGGCAGATTTGTTGAGAAACGCCTGAGGTCCTCTTCAGAAGGCACTGCTGGGGGCAGCCGGCTGATCATAAAACCAAAGGATGGAAATGCAGAAGAGCTTAACAGCCTAAGGAAGCAGAGAGCAAGCTCTTCCTCTTCCAAAATGAACAGCATGGTGAGTTTTATTCCCACATCCATAAGTTTGTTTTTCTCTGATTGGTGTAGCTATAGTGAGAAGCAGTGACTTCACAGCTAACAGTAATAAAGAGGGCAGGAGCTGTCTCAGGCTTCCAAAATGTGATCCACGCTCAGCTTCAGATATGAAAAGTATTTTTTTGCAGGTGGAGTGCTGCAAAAGGTTTGTCTACTTGCTGAAGAGTTTCTTGCTGACATATTCTAGTGATTTGCTTGTGCTTGGATCTTTTTGTGTTTCTCTCTTTTTGTGGGAAGTTTGCATGCAAGTATTAGTGAATGACATGTGATTTTTCAGAGCCAGGAAGAATGTCATGATATTTCAAGATGCTGTTTCACATGGGTATGCAAAGCAATATGCAGATGGAGTTCATGCCCTAAAATACTGGGTAACCCTGACTCAGGCATGTGAACCTTTTTTGGGTTCCTAGACCCAAGCTGTTAGGCAGATATGTGTTTATTTAAATACTAGGTTACATTGATGCTATTGCACTTCCTTTTGTTTAGCTCCGTATTAATGATGGAAGTGGGAAGGTGTGACAATCCAGGAACAACAGGAAGTAGGAAAAGTGTGGATGGGATTAGGTGGAAATCTGACCCCTTCTTTGTGTTTTGTTTGTGAAATCTATGAGGTTTTTTCCCCCACTGCTATTAGCAAGTTTGTCCCCATATCGACATGATTTGGTTATGCTTATTGGTATTACAGTCACAGACCAAGGACTTCTAAAACAAGATTAGAGAACATGCTCATGAGTGAAGGTAAAATTATTCCTGCTTTCCCCCCAGTACATATGGATATTACCTTCCTATCTTAAGAAAAATAGAACTTTTTTAGTAAAGAGTGGGGTTTAGGAAGTAAATCAAACCCCTCTCCTCCCCACAAACAACCCAAAGACAAAAGAAAAACACTGAGTTTTCTGGAAGCAAAAAAAAAAAAAGAAAGAAGAAATGGCATGTTCATAGTAATACATATTTGAACAGGAAAAATGCCTCTTCAAAATACTTGTCCCAATCAATTTGTGTTTAACACCACAGTAGCAGATGGCTACCAATGAGTGATGCTAATGAGGAATAAATACTAGGTAAAGAATCAGTGTTACTACACAGAGTATTATAAAAAGCTTTATCTTTCTTAGATGGCTAGAACACCATGAGTCACGTGGCTGCCTGTATTCATTTTGTACAGTTCTGGAGAGGAATGAACCACAGACATTTAAGGGATGACAAATCCTTGGGGGAGAGCAGAGGCCCCTGTGGCAAGGACAGCATTGCTGTGCAGTTCTGCTCTGAGGCACTGAGCAAGCAACCATGCCTGTGGATGCGGTTTTCTGGCATCACCCAGATGTCTTGTTCAGCTGAAGAGATTTTGTACCTATATCTTTGCCCTTGTTTGAGTCCTTTTTCTTGTTGGCAGGCAGTGTGTGCTGCTTCTGCTGAGGGACTGGGAGTGCGGAGCAGAAAGTCTTGCTGAAGGGGTGCGAGATTTTTCACAGGAGACAGGAAGTAAAAAAACCCAGCATCTGAGAAATTGTTCTTTATCCTGAACACCTTGGTCAGCAGTGTATTCTCGCATAATTGTCAGTTGTTGTTTCGAAGATGAAAGGTAAAGGCTTGGATAGACTGACCTCCTAATTACTAGGAATATGTGTCAAACCTGCAAACAAGACCACTGCTTCCCCTAAGAGTGGCCTTAACTAACTTGTGAGGTGCTGAAAGTAATATTCTGGCTAAGACCAGTGCTGTTTGCAAATGAAATTTAGGGAAGAAAAAAAATCTCACAAAATAGCTCTGCAAGTGTGCCTATTTCATAGTACTGTAAATAACGATGTGAAGGAAGTGCTTCAGATGGATTGGATTGCCAGCTGTGTGTTTACAGCGCTGCTCTTCTTGCAGTGGCTGATTCCTGCTACAAGAGGGCACCGTTTCACCAGAAATGGTTTTGAGCAGTGATTGCTGCAATTCAGGATGTGTGTTTGAGCAGTTTCATGTTGTTAGTCTGTGCAGTATAATAGACCCTTTCCAAATGAGAAGTATTGATAGTAATGCAATTTAAAGAGATGGATATTGCTCTATAAACTCTGGTCATTCTAATGCTTTAACAATGAACTCACGAGTTAACAAATTTAAATCTTTTCATATAACATATAGAGTAGTTAACTATGCTTCAGAAGGTTGGTAGAAATTATACTTCGCCTGCTGTTTATACCTAGGTGGTTCTTCTTTTCCGATGTGTAAGAGAGACAAAAGGAAAGAAAAATGTGAATCAGTACAGGCAAAAGACCTGAATGGTCTGAAATATGCAGTCCTGCCAGACCAATGAAAAGAATGTCAACCTGGATAGTTGGCAAAATGAAAATTAGATTTACCACATTAAAAAATAGATCACACCACCAAATCACTCCAAGCAAATTCTTTAAAAGGCTTAGGAGACAGAATAGCAGGGGAAAACCCAAACTTAATGTGTAACAGAACTTGGAGCTAGGAGAAGGTGAGATGTGTGTGAGCAACAGAACTATCTGTCACTTGTCATAGTAGTAGCTAATATGGAAAGGTGAGTATCTTGAATATCACATTTATCAGCACAGAGAAAAGATATTAAAATTTTTTCTGTGTATGATAGAGATTTTTAAATGCTAGCAAATTCAAGTCATTGAGACTGGATAGTCATGAAGGATGATATGAATGGCAGTTACTGTGAATTACTGCAGATTCAAAGAAAAGCTTGAGAGAATGGTGGGAGCACCTAGATCACACTGCCCAATTTCAAGGCATGAACTGCACTGTGCTGTATGCATATATGTGTTTTCACTGTGTTCGTGCAGTGGACCCAGACTGCCGGCTTACATTTGGCCCTTGCAGATCTGCCCGTCTGCCTCTCTGCTGTTCTTTACAAGGAAAATAGTTGTCTTTACAGCTTCTCCCTTTCCCATGCCTGTCTATCAGCATATGTACTACTTAACTAAAAACCCCTTATTTCTCAACTTCTTCTCTCAGTGGGTGAACACTGCAGGACTGTGTTTCTCTGGGCACTCTTCAGTTTCTCATACTAGAATCTTCTCTAGCTGTTGCCTGTTTCTTGCTTCTTAAATTCAGCTTCAACTTTTCACCTTTGCAGGTAAAAACTTTTATGCTTGCCTTCAGTGCTGCATCATCAGCTTCCTTTGCCTGGAGCAAAGCAGCCTTGCTGACTTGTGCCAGCCCAATTAGAGCAGCACAACTTATTTTTCTGCATTGTTGCTTTGGCTGTGCCATTTCTTTCTTTGCATCTTTCCTGTGGTTCCTATATATTAGATATGAAACCAGGGACTTTTGAGGCCTAAGGTCATCCCTGCCTTTTTCCTCTCAGCTTTAACAGTGGCCCTTTTGCCAAGCTGTCAAATAATTGTATTTGTGTTTTTTCCCATGCTGCCCATCAACTGCAGTTACCTCAAAATTTGCTTCATTTCCTTTCTAAATTTTCAGTTTAATTTTTTGCCTTGCCTAAAGATAATTTTTCAAGATGCATGCTGGTACTATATTGCTAAGGTTTTTACTGAGCTTTTTTTTGCTTATCCATCCAGTGCTGATGCTAAGCCAAAATCCCCATTTTCTCATGCTTGTTCCATGCTACTGAAGTGGGGATGCTCCAAGTACTGAGAATCTCAGTAAATGTACCTACAACATAAATTAGGAACAATGAATGCAAAACCCAGTGTCAGAATACAAGGCAGTAGTTCACGGGCAGTAATTCAATTTGATACTGGAATTAGTTGAGTATGTTAGTTAAACATTAAATTTAAAAAAAACTAATAATTCACTAATTTAGTATAGAGGGAGCCATCTGACATTTTGGGAATATAGCATAAAGGTAAGTGATTGACACAGAAATATGCTTGCAAAAGAGAGATTAACTGCAAATATTTGAGACTCCTAGTGTGTCTGGAGAGAGCAGAAGACCAAAGCAGAGGTCACTAATGAAAGTGTGTTATGGCCAGAACATGTGTGGTAATTATTCAATTAGCAGCTGGGGTCTAAATTGTAGCAGGTGTCCTGGATGTTGTGTGTGGGTAACTCCACCTCGGTTGTGTTACCCAAGTGATTTGGGGTGGCTGAGTAGTTTTAAAAGTAAGGCTTTTAGTATACTTCAGAAATGGTACTTAGAATGATGTAGCTGTTATCCAAACCACTGTATTCAAATCTCTTCCTGTATTTGATGTTGTGCCTTATCAGGCCATACCCAAATCTGTAGCTCGTGAAAGTGTGCTTATTGCTTCTTACAGATAACTTTATTTTTAATGTTACCTGAGCACCTGATTTATTATCAAGCACTATTTTTAATCCAGCTGCTACATCATGACAGAAACAGCAGGATGCTGTGCCCCCATGGACTTCAGTGAATGTACATGAATAAGGGCTAAGATGTTTTTCATGTTCCCCTTGCTTATGCTGAGTTGTATGATATTTTGCTGATGTGTGATTAAGCACAGAGTATGAATCAGACTAGGCTGGCTGCTAGTCTAGAGAGAATTGAAGTAACTTTCATCTTTGCTTGAGGTTACTTTAACCTTGACCTTCTGGAAGCTGTGATTTTTATGCAATGTGTGGCTAATGCATGAGGTGGAAGCTGCTATAGAAAATCCTGGAGTTGAATGAGTTTCAGAGAGTGACCAATGAGTAGATTTGAAAGTGAAGTTGAATGTGGCTGTTTTTGTCACCCATACATGTAACCTGTAAAGATCTGAGAAAACCGTGTGGGATATGCGCTCTTTCTAGAGACTAGCACTAATTATTAATGCCTTAGCAGCCTGCCTGGAAAGGCAGTGAATGAAATGTTGGAGGGAGGATTTGGGTGCTCAGGGCTTCAGTTTAGGTTGGAAAAAACCCTCAAACAAAACAGCCTTTTCAGATATGCCAAGGCTGTTAGAAAAATGTGAACTAGTTAAGCAAGATGCACAAAATTCTTTATTGTCTTCTGCACAACCTTCTTTACAACTAGCAATGTTA